CATCAACGTACTAATTCACAAGCTGAATTTTTATGAAAAGCCTTATCAATCTTTCTCTTCTTCTTCACTTGTTCCATCCCTCACATTCCTACAACACAACCAAAGCCAATATGTTCAATCCAACTTGTAAGGTACGAGGATATATAACAAGAGCCTTGAAGCTTACCTCCAAGACGATGTTAGGTTCTGAGTTTTCCTATCGAGCTGAAGATTTTCCAGCGCCGTTGAAGCTCTCATCACCTCTTCCGTTGCATCTTCACTCTCATATCTTGAATTCAGTTCATCTTTTCTGTACCCAGAGGTAGCTGCTCTTTGGTCTAAACATTCTTATTGAATTTACTTGGTATCAAATATTATAAAACATACATACTTCAATAAGAAAAAAAATAGGGAAACGATGACTCACCCGACGCTTGAGATGCAGAAACCGACCTGCCCCAATTTAGTTTAAAGAGACGTAAATCAAGCATGCCAGACTCCGAAGCAAAATGAAAGAGTAAAGATCTTTGATTTAGCATAACACGGAGTGAAAGATATATGTACCTTCGTTGAGGAGGTAAGCTATCAGAAACCGATGATTTACGAGGAGGATTTCTAGACTCAAGGCTTGATGAGGACTCGGTTTCTAACTCTCTCCTTGAACTACCACCCATGGCCTGTGTTATGTAATTTGTTTTAAAGTATCATTGCAAAGCTTGTAAACAGAGAGCAGAAGTTATAGATCGATATCTTCACATGGGAAAAAGGAAAGAAATACCTCGAACTTTAAGAATCCTTCAAGAACTTCCAAAAGGAGAGGTGCGCTATCTCCATTTCTGTTGAGCTCATAGCCATTGTTGCTACTAAAGTCGCATAACTCTGACTTCCAAGAATCTTTTGGCTTTGCATAAGGTAGGTTTTCAGAGACCACCACATTAGTAAGACAAGTTCATCTACAATCTACTTTATGAAATAAATAAATCGAAATCAAAGAAAAGGAATTCAATTAAAATACCAAATTGCATTCTGGTTGATAAACTTTTAGTGTGTGATTTAGTTGCGCCCAGTCCAAATACTCACAAATGAATGCAGATAGCAACCTGCCTGCATTGCAACATTTCAAAAGTGACCAAGATGCATTTTCACCCGACAAGCGACTGCATAAAACCTCAATGTCCATATTGCTAAAACATACAACAAGCAAGTAAAGGTCGGTTCTTGACGTGATTTCACCCGACAAAAAAAGAAAGTTATACAACAATTTACAAACAAAGACATGCCATTTAGATCAAAACCATTCAAAAGAGAAAAGATGTGAAGGATGAAAGTGAGTAAAGACCTTTAGGAGAAGCATGAAGCTGCCTTGCACGATCATTGCAGCTTCCCAACAAAGCAGGAGGAAGCCCTTCGTTGTTCTCAATCACTCGATCTTCTTCTTCGATCGCCTCAAACACACTCGCACGGAGCTCAGCCTATAAGAGAAACTAAACTATCACCAGAAATATACAAAAAAAAAAAAACCAAATGTTCCAAATTCAGCTGAAAATTAAGACTCAAATATGACGTAAAAATTGGGAATTTCACAATGAACCATCGGATTACAGATCAATACACTAACCAAAGATCTGGAATCAACCAAGAACCCTAGAAAACTAATGTATGTTTTCTTCTTAGCGAAATTTGAAGGGACCGAGTAATGTATCGCAGGTACTAGAGGAATTGCAAATGACAAATTTTTACCCGGATCTTAGCGAGAACACCTTTCTTCTCTAGGGTTCGAGTGACCAAAGTCTTGAGATCCATCATCTCTCTAGTGTAATCGTCCATTGTTTACTTCCACCAGCAAATTGAAGTCAGATCAAATAAGAGATTCCTGCTGGTGAAATCGGATTTTGGTCACCGGAGAAATCTGACAATGCCGTTCGGTGAGAGGAGGCGCTGCGTTTAAGCCAGAGTTGGGTCTCTTCGGGGGTTCTTTTTATGTTTAAACGAACCAGAGAGAAGAAGACGTTTTGAAATATCGAAATAAAAATAAAGAAATTCACAAAAATAAATTTTTATACTCTACTATTATTTTATTTACTCATTTTTACGATAATGTTTTCGTATTATTTTATATACAATAGACTTTTTTTTTATGTAAATATATACGATATTAATAAGTAAAGATCAACTTTAGTTTTTGGATAATGATTGTTCTTTTGTGAAATCAAAACAACTCAGAAGACAAAACATTAACCGTTTAATATGTATGTTTTTCCAACAACAGAAAGTTCTTGAAAAGATGGAGGATTGGTCATAAATTAAAAAAAAGGAGCTAACGAAAACACAGTTGCAAATAAAGGAGAGAACATACATATATCACGTACACAAACCATAAAACTAATCAAGAAGCTTAATATTTTATCGAAATCAATCTCTCCCTTCTTCTTCATTTGTTCCATCCCTCACATTCCTACAACACAACACAACACAAACCATCCAATGGATCAGATTTGCTTCTTCATTTTGTTAATTTCAATCCAACTTGTATGTACATGAAGCTCACCTCCAAGACGATGTCAAGTTCCTAGTTTTCCTATCGAGCTGAAGATTTTCCAGTGCCGCTGAAGCTCTCATTACTTCTTCATGCGTGTCTTGATTACCTTGTTGTCTCCAATTGAATTCATCTTTTCTGTATCCAGAAGTAGGCAACCCGGCTCTTCTATCTGAAAAAAACCGTATTGAATTTCTTTGGTATTCAAAAATATCATGAAACATTTCATATTTTAACCAAATAGTTCAAGAGATTACTCACCCGGTCCTTGGGATGCAGAACCCGGCCTGTCCATTAATTAAACATCAAATAATCAAAACATGTCTGACTCATAGAGGCAACATGAAAAGAGAGTAAAGATTTATGGTTTGGCATTACATGGAGTCAAAAGATATGTGTACCTTCGTAGAGGAGGTAAGCTATCAGAAGCAGATGATCTTCGAGGAGGATTTCTTGACTCGAGACTTGATGACGACTCAGTTTCCGACTCTCTCCTTGAATTACCGCCCGTGCTCTGAAAACAAAAAAAAAATGTTAAAACCTGAGCAGAATACAGCAAGAAAAATGATAATATAAAGGTTTTACTGTGAAACATGATCCTTGGATATGTAGACGACTCGAGGCTTGGACTTTGCCAGACTTGTTTCTAAAACATCTCAAGACATCTAATCTCAAACTAAGACACCTAAAAAAAGGTTATTTACTTAGAAAGAGTGTGAGGTATTAACTACAAAGTACAAGTTTGAGCTTTTCTAGAGGCTGGTGTATCTAAAGCTTCAATGTCACCAACAGAACAGAAACTGAAAACATTTCTACCGTGAAAACGCGTACATACAGATGGACTATTGTAACATCTTCTCTTTTTTTAATATAAATTAGCAGTGCACATTATTAGATTGTCAATATTGAGTTCCTTCTTATGTAAACATCTTCACAGTGAACAAAGAAAAAAATACCTCAAACTTGAAAAACCCTTCAAGAACATCGAGAAGGAGCGGTGCGCTATTTCCGTTTCTGTTGAGCTCATAACCATGGTTGCTACAAAAGTCACCTAACTCAGACTTCCAAGAGTCTTTTTGCTGTGCATAGGTTTAAAGGCACAAGCAGATAACACGATTAGTAAAAGAAAGCCAGGTTTTAGGTTCATGCAGAATCTATTGAATGAGACAAAACAAAATGAGAAGAAATTACTTGATTACCAAATTGCATTCGGGTTGATACACTTTAAGCGTATGATTGAGTTGCGCCCAGTCCAAGTATTCACAAATTAACGCAGATAGCAACCTACCTGCATTTTTATTCAACAGTTTCAAAGTGAGGACCAACTCAACTACACAACCACAATGCTCTTATGCCAAGTGTAAACAGTAATCTAGTACCAAACATACGATTATGAACCGATCTAAAGGACGAGAGTGAAGAGAGATAGTGTAAGCTAAAAACTTGTGAAAAAAAACCTGAAGGAGAAGCATGAAGATCCCTTGCACGATCACTGCAGCTACCCATCAAAGCTGGAGGAAGCCCTTCGTTATTCTCAATCACTCTATCTTCTTCTTCGATCGCCTCAAACACACTCGCACGAAGCTCAGCCTGTAATAGCAACTAAAAACCATCAGCTCAAATTCAAAATGCAAGACCAAATGTTAAAAGAATCCAATTTTACAGATCACACTTTGCATCCATCCAAATCAAGGAAACTAATAAACCTAATTTCTAAAATCCAAAGAAATTTAGAATCAGCATCAATTGGTATAATCAATCTACCAACCAACGATCTGACCCAGAACCCTAGAAAAGTAAAATCTGAGATTTTTTTTTTCTTTCTCTGAACTGAAAGGCTGAAACTTGGAAAAAATTTCCTTCTCCGTTTTCATTTCCGAACAAATCTCCAAGAACTAGAGGAATCGCAAACTTACCCGGATCTTAGCGAGAACACCCTTTTTCTCGAGGGTTCGAGTGACTAAGGTCTTGAGATCCATCATCTCTCTAGTGTAATCGTCCATTGTTCAAACACCAAATCAAAATCAAAAGTATGAAAATTGGGTTTATGAGAAATGGGGTTTCTTCTGTTGTGGAGGATTTGAAGATGGCCGTCCGGAGATATGTGTGTTGCTGCGAAGCCGGAGTGACCCGATTTGAAACGAAAATGAATTGAAGATATTGAAAAATACGAAAGCAGTGAGAAAAAAACAAATCTTTCAGACAAAATTTTCCAACTTTATTTTCAAAAATATTCCCCCAAAGATGATAGTTTCCACTCTCGTCCGATATTTTTAAGATTCGGAGATATTGCCCCCAATTACTTTTTTGGATCAATTTGCCCCCAATTACTATTGGATTTTTTTATATGGTTCTTTTCTTTTTACTTAATAGAAAAAGATAGATCGAGTACTTCATGGAAAAGAAAACGGAATTTAAAGAGGATCCAATTTCCATTCTGACAAGAGTGTAACCAAGATCGGTTCAAAAAAATTCTTGTAAAAATTATTCTAAGAAAATTGACGCATTCCACTTGCTTATGTTATGGACCGGACTTGCATGTATTAATTCAAAAAACTAAGGAGCATGCAAAAGCTTATTGGACCAAGTTACTATCCAGTATCCAACCCATTTTTCTTTATAGAAAAACAAGAACAAGGGATCATGAAAAAAAGTTGAATTCTTTAACTTCTAGAAGATCTATTCTCTAATCAAAATCTTTAATTGTTTTTTTTTAATGTTTAGCAACTTTTTTCTTGAATACTATCGTTTTTTCAGATTAAACGAAACTTTTATAATATATTTCCTAACTTCTTAAATACTCAGTGTACGATTTTTTGTTGTGTTCAGAAAAGTGCATATTATTCATTTCTCACCATCAAAATTCGTAGTCATGTTATGTAGAGAGTTTTTTTTTAATAACTATGTAGAGGTAGATCTTTTGCACTTAAAGGTAAAATAATACATGAATTCTTATTTTTTTTAACTAAAGTTTTAATAGATCTTTTGCAAGATACAAAGCCGAAGGTATAAACTGAACATCCCCGAAAACTAAGCTGGCAGAAGACGGCCCTTCCCAAAGGAAAAGCCCTCGTTGAAGGGAAGCAAAAACAAAGACAAATGCAAAGCCAATCCTAATAATACGAGGCTGAACCCAAAGCAGAAGACAAAGTCAGCTTAAATCCACAACTAAAACACATACATTACTTTCAAAAATCCTTTATTTCGACAGATCCTTAGCCAGTAGCTTAGCAAAGAGAGGAGTATCCAAGCAAAGAACGTGGAACTTCTTATAGCGAATAAATAAACTTACTTCACATCTTTCTTAGATCAAGGTTTCAAACTCCAGCAAGATAGAATCATGACAATATCGTGTCTAGATCCTCACAATTCTCCTGTGAAGTCGCAATAACAACGATTTGACTTGAACACACCTCTTCTGAAATCTAACAAATAAAACCAGGTTTTGATCATGACGTACCTCCCTCGAGAAAGGTGAAGTCGAAGAATTCTTTGGGTTGAAGTTTCCACCAATACTATTTAGAGAGACCCTCAGATCGATCCTATTTTGCATCACTCTTGTAGTATTTTAAATATTTAAGCTAAGGCGGTTAATCACGAGAATGAGAACAATCTAAAGATAAACTACAAAAGAAAACGAGTTTAAAATGTAGTAATAAAAAGAACAAAAAAAAAATAGGGTTCAAGATCAATTAGATTGTCTTTCATGTTCTCAAGGTAGTGAAAACTAATAAAATGATACTTTAGATCTCAGAGACCGATGATCAGAAACTTGAATAAGTCTCTTTTGAAGTTCTAATCACGATAACTTAATGAATTGTGAAAATGGTAATACACATGTAGTCGTTTGCGTCTATATTTCAAGGGAATATATATGATTGTAGACTACATATATGCATTTCGTAATATTTTAGGTATAAAATTCCATAACGAGATTATCACACAAGAGATATACTGTAGACAATAATTTCTCTAAACTAAGGCGATATGATCATTGACACATCCCATATTTAGTCAATGAATTTTTGAGTTATATTACGAGCGAAAGTTGTCAAATTTCACCTACCTGATGGTTTGTGTGTCACATAATACTAGCACGAAACAGAAATGAACACTAAATGGTTAAGAGCACATGTTTATTTCGAGAGGACACTCGACACAAATTGGGACTTGGCTTTAACATCTTCTTTTTTCGTTCGGTCTCAAGAAATTAGCTTTAGCTATTTGGATTTGGAGAACAAAGGAGGGGAAGCCACCACGTCGCTCAAAACTGTCCCGACAAAAACTATCTTGTCATATTTTTGACGTCATTATCGTATTCATAT